GCCTGCCAGGTTAAACCACAACACATCCTAAAACTATTTTTCTGCCCAGCAGAAAAATGAACCTCGAACAGCATCTTTGTATTGCTAAAACATGTATATCTTTTCAACTATTAAAATAGTTATTTTGGTTATGAAAAATAGGAAATATGAAAGCCATGGAAGTTTATAAAGGAAGTTCTTGTAGTTGTAGTTCTGGATTGGGACCTTCTGAAGTGGATTCTGCCCTATTTTTTTTTTCTTCTTTGCAGTAGTTTCATTGCCCTGAGATGTAATCGTAAAACTCAGGCTACGAGATAAATCCTTAAATGTTTGCATAGTTAACAAATAATTGCTTATGACCTGTGTGATTAAAAAAAAAAAAAAAAAAAAAGCTGCTTACACAGCTTTTTTACAAAAGTAAAGTTGGTTAGGTTTGCCAGTTCTTTCTAGTAATCATTGGCACCGAAAGTATCTTAACAACTTCGAAAAGCCTAGTTGTCACTTCTAAACATAGTGAAGTCTAACTGCATATGTAAACTGTGTGTTTAAGGAAAAAGAAAATTAAATTTTGATTAAGCTTAAAAAAAAAACCTGAGAAAATATGTATATGCTTTATTTCTTTCTTTCCTGTGTCTTAGTAAACCACTCTACAAAACCAGAGGCTCTGGATTCAGCAGTGACATCTGCAAAAGATGTTGAAGAAATAAAGAATGTTACATGTGTAGAAGAACAAAGCAATGGTCTCAAGAAAGCTACAAAGGACACTTGCACAGCAAATGGAAGTACTTCTGTAAGCAGTGAAACATCTGACTGGGATATGAACTCTCGAGATAAAGTTAATGCCCAGGACTCCTTAAATGATAGCACTGATCACAAAATGGACAGTGAGGTCACTAATGATTTGACAAATACAAAAGAATCTCAGAGTTTTTCAGAACAAGTTGATAGAACAGTGATAGAGAAGCAGCAAACCCAAGACAAGACAACAAATGACTTGGACTTTGAACTGTCTAGTGACAGTGAAAGTGACGGTGGATTGGATACCAGAAAGTCATCCACTTCTGTATCAGATAGTGAGAACGAGGAAAAGAGAAGCTGGAAGAAATCCAAACAACCTCTGCAGGATGAAAATTTGCAGAAAGGGAGTTGCCCTGATGTGAGTGAGAAAAAGGATGGTCTGGTGAACCATTCTGGGGACACGCAATCTCTACCTAGTGAAAATATTCATGACAAGACTGATCTTGAAGCACAAGAAGAAAGTGAACAGGAAAGCCTTTGTGATTTAGGAAATGGGTGTGCAGACAAGAAGGAAGCTGAAACAGAGTCTCAGAATAGTGAACAGTCTGGAATTACAATGGGTGAGTCCTTAGACCAGAGTATGGAGGAAGAAGAGGAGGAGGATGATACAGATGATGACGACCATTTAATATACCTCGAAGAGATCCTTGTGCGGGTTCACACTGATTACTACACAAAGTATGATAAATACCTGAAAAAAGAGATTGAGGAAATTCCAGACATCAGAAAAATAGTACCAGAACTGAAAAGTAAAGTGTTGGCAGATGTAACTATAATATTTAGCGGACTCTACCCAACAAACTTCCCCATTGAGAAAACACGGGAACACTATCATGCCACAGCACTTGGAGCTAAAATTGTGAAGAATCTAGTAGTGAGTGCTGATGATCCTGACAAAGCAACGCATCTCATTGCAGCAAGGACAGGTAGGTAAATGAGACTTGAGTTTTCCGTGAGCTTTTTTCCTGTTACAGTTCATTCATGCCTTGAGCTGGTTTTTGTATAACCTACAGGCTTTAATGTAACCGAGATTAGAATTGAAATTAAAGGGAAGATTCTTCCTAAAACAGTTTAGAAGCCTTTTTTAAGGCTTTTTTGCTGCTTTTTGATCAAGTGTGGCTTTTAATTGTTAAAAGGAGGATCTGCTAAATAGCCTCTGATGTAATGTGTCGTGTCTGACTTCTTGGTTAGGAGTTGGTATTACTGAGTCTTTGACTATTAAAGACGTTGAATAGGAACTTTAACATTTGTGTCAGAGAAGAGTTTATAGTGGTCTTGCTATAAAGTTATAGCAATGCTTGCTTTCTCAGTTTCTCAGATTTCACCTCTCATGGTTCGGTTTCACTTTGTATGGAATTCAAATGAACTATCTTAAGAGACTGGAATCTTATGGTACCCTGTCACTGCTCTGTGCGTAGCCTGTATATCTTTCTCATGGGAGATGTAATAGAGCTCAGCCTAACTTTTGATATGTGTTTCACAAAGCTACCTGTTTTTACGTAGTTATAATGGATAGGAATGTACCATTTGGTAGCTGTCATAGAGGAGCTAACAGGCCACCACTAGCTTCTAGTACAAATTTTTATGTGCACCCTGACCCTTGGTTCCCTCATTGTTGGCCTTTTGAAGTTACATTGGAATCTAAATATCGTATAATCAAAACCATGAAATCCAAAAGTAGAACTGCATGGTTTAGATAATGTAAAACTTCTAGGTAGTTTTAGGACATCTTTAGATGTCATAGGCGAAGAAATACACATCTATTGGATTTTTTTTTTCTTAACTGCTGTTCATGCAAGCTTTCAGTACATTAGAAGCATTTTTGTTTCATCAGCTTGTAAGGAGTATATTTTCACTGGCTGTAATATAGATGTGTATACTTTTCTTGGACTGTGTGTGACTTAAGATATTTCTTATACAGCTGACCAGGAATAATTTCTTCCTGTTGAGGAGGCAGTGATAAAAAAACCCTCCAGTGTTTAGTGACTAAAAGGGGAATGTTGCAGTTCCTTAACTTCTACCCCTTTAAATACGAGTAGTATTAAAAATCTATGGATTAAACCCAGCCAATTTATCAGTATATTGTGATATACTAATCAGCTTTTTTTTTTTAAATATTAGTCTAAATAACAGTAAGGCTGTGTATTTGCTAGGCTAGTGTAAACTTACCTCACTTTCCAGTTATCTCACTGTATGGTTCTGGTGACAAAAAGCACAGGCAGCTTTTATTAGAAAGCTGATAAGTTGACAGTAGCAACAAGGGGCTGCAGTATTGACCTAGTCAAGTAGCATCAGAATAAAAACTGTACCAATGGACCTGCAGTGAAGTAGCAAGTTTGTATTAATTGTCCTGATGCAGATATGCATTTAAGTAGTAAAAACAACCTAAAAACCAGAAAAGGCTGAAATTAGTTTCATCGAGATTAGCTGGGATTCTGATTTCTGAAGGTGTGATAGTTGAAATAGTGAATGGGAAGTGTTAAAATCAGTGGATGGATCAGTTTGGGACTCCGTAGTTTTACTACAGTTGCTGAACAGCTCTTTTAAAACTGCAGGAATAGCAATACTCTTATCAGCAAAGAATTACACAGGTTTGTCATATTTAATTGGAGACATGATAGCTGTCAATATAATTTATATAATAATTATATAATTGTTACATGATTTAATAATAATTATTATATAATTATAATTATATAATAAGAACAACTTTCATGTTTTTCCAATTTCAAATTTTAAAATGCTTCATTTCAAAGTTGCTTTGTCTTGCACTAGATGGCTTCTGAATGTAGTTGTACATTGGATGCAACTATTGTGTGATGTGGTAAAATTGATAGGATAAATGTAAATAAGACCCCCCTCCAAAATACACATTTCTCTAGACGAAAAAATGTTGAATAATGTTATGTTAAGGTATACAGCATGTGATAGTGAGAAACAGTTGAGGCTTTTTTTGCTTGGTTTTGGAATGTACAGTGTGAGGGGGGTTGTATGTTTTTATAGATACATATGAAAGTAGAACACAAGGATGTGTATAAGCAAATTATTCACTACCTGCACATTCTTAGTGAATCATCCTCTAATGTTAATCTTAATACAAAAAACTATTTTAACTTTAGGTTTTGATTACATAAATGTGCTTTTACAGTATTTGAATTGAGTTTATTAACACACTTAAAATTAACTTTCAGTGCTGTTTTGAAAAATAAATAAATTTCAGACTTTTTGTCAAGACCTAGACTCTCCTTCAAAATAGTCATGTAATGTTGGTGTTGCACTTGGTACTTAAAATATATTCAAATATTGCCTGCTGATTAAAACAACAAATCACAAGAACACCACTATTCCTGAATTGCTGGGGAGAAAAACCTTTATTGTCAGTATGTAGAAGCTGACCCTTGCTTTTAGTAAGAAAAGAATTGCATTAACCAATTCTAAAAGAGGCAACTTGGTAGCCTTTTCTGCCTAATGAGCAAGACTATTGTCATCTTTCATCATCACTTAGTAATTATTTCTGTAACAATGGCAGTGAAATAGGGGGCTTTAGAGTGAAAAAACTATATTCTCCAATAACCTTCTTTTGTAAGATTCTCAGGGATTGCTTGTGGTTTTGGTTTTATGGTGGGTTTTTGTGTTTGTTTTTTTCAACTGAAGACTGTATTTTCTCACCTCTGGTTAAGATGGGAGTAGTTATGCTGCATCATCCTAACTTCATGAGGCAAACTCTGAAGTTTAATCAGAGGTTTTAAGGATATAAATCGTGTCCTGTCACAGCTGGATTTGTGATAATTCAGCTGTAAACATGAGTTTCATACTGATTCTCTTGTGGTTAGAAAGCAAATTCTGCAAATCTCTATTACAGCCGGTAAGCCATACAGATATTGCATCTCTGGCTCCCATGACAAACATCTGAAGCTCTGCTTGATGTCTAATTGCTGGTGAAAGGGGGAAACAAAAGCATGTCCCTTCTTGAGTTTTATCCAGAAGTCAATGACCTGAGACCAGATAATGTTGTTCTGCTTCTTTTTTCTTCTTTTTCCCTCTTTTTTTTTTTTTTAATGTGGTTGTGAAAAGGTGATTTTTGAAATGTACGTGTCAGTTCAGTATTTCTGGATGACACCACTAACAACGACAGACTTAGGACTCAGACAAGCAAGTTAATTTACATGTTTACTTTGCGTTAGCTGAGCTGTAGTAAATGGCATATACTTAATCTGCAACAGCGGTGGGGGTAAATACTGGTAGCTTTTCAGTTTTGAAGACAGGAAGAATTTGTCAGAGGAAATAAAAAGGGTAGTCAGTGTGAAATAGTCTTTTTCTCTAGGTCTTGGAGGGATGGGTTTTCCCCCTGCAAAGTGACCACATCATAGCTTGGTGTATGGAATGAACAGCTAGCAAATACCATTTTAGATTGTATTTACAGCATTCTTGCCAGCCTATTGCAGTAAATAATTTAAATTTCTTTTATTGTTTGTATATACTTGTCTTTCTCTGCAGATAGGCAGCTTGTTTCTCTGCAGACAGAGATACTCTGAATTCTGAAAATAAATAAATCCTTGTTCTTGGAGAAAATTAGGATTTTTTTCATTATATAAGGGGGAAAAAACTATCTACCTGAACTACTGTAAAACACAAGGATCTCTGTATCATCTAATCAGCTTTCATAAATCTGAGTGACTGAGAAGAGGCTACCCTAGTCGTTTCCACTTACCTATGGGCTGCATAAATCTTACTTCAGTTTTTGAAACATCTGCTGTTTGCTTTAAGCAACAGTAAACTGCACGGGATGATGAGTTGTTATAGCTGTGTACACACTTGGCTAAGCAGTTACCACACCATTTCATAAACCTTGTTATGTTCCTTCCTGAACAAATGAAAGATACTATAGTTGCTGTTTGTATTGAGTTTGTGGTGGTGGAGCAGATAAATCTGTTCAGGTCACTTAAAAATTATTCTAGTGGGGTAGGAATGGAAATATGTCAGTTTAGACCCTGAATTCTTTTCTTTTTCAAAATATAGTTAATTCAGTGTCTTTTCCTATACTTTGAAAGCTATATGGGAATAATTTCCTTACTTTTGGTGACTTAGTCTATGTCAAGTTTTGCTTAATATCATTAAGTATCCGGTTGCTTAAAATACCAATTGTACTATGAACTATGGCTTCTTTTTTTCATCCTTATCTACCTAGTTAAAAAATGTTTATTCCTGAGTCTGGCTCTGAGGTACTGAGAGAAGAGAAAGCTGCCAGCTGATAAAGCCTTGTTAGCCTGTCCTATGACTTGGTGTGAGGTCTTCACCAGACATGGCTATGATGTGTCCACAGATTTTTTTTCTGAAGAATATTTTCAAAGGCCGTGTCTTTAAAAAAAATCCTGTTAAGCACTGCTCTAAACTTGGGCACTGACCAGGTAAGCCTGTTGCTGTTGCTGGCAAAGCACAGTGCAGTGTTAAAGCTGAGCTCCAGACATAGCCTCTGAACAGCACATCTGTCACCATTTCATGATCACTTAATTATTGTAGGACAAAACACTGAGGTCTATACAACTTGTCTCAGGTTAACGTTGTTAGAGAAGAGCTTCAGGATTTGATCATAAATCAAGTTTTATATATAAAAATGGTCTGAAGAGAAATAAACTTTTAGTGATCAGATTTTCCAAGCAATGTCTGGCAACCTGACTGCAAACTGCCATAAGGATATGTTGACTTTGGTGTGTTGGAATTGGGAGAGTGTTTTGAGAGTGACTCTGGTGGTCACTTCCCATCGTGTACTTCGGTTCGTCCTGGCATAGCCTCAAACCCGCACACTCGGTTCCTCGGGGGTGAGACTGAATTGGAGGGCACAGTCAGCTGAGCGCTCACTGGATTCAGTCCGCAGGACTGGGCAGAGCTAATCCAAAGCAAAACTCCCTGAAATGCATATGGGATGGGCATTGCTCCTCCAGCACCCTTTTGCCCTGCAGATCTCCCTGTTGGGCTGCACTACTTGGTAATGTGAACATAGCCAAATATGCAGTATAACATTTCTTAGTCTTCATAAACATACAGCTTAGGTCTTGTTTATCTATGTTGCTTAAGTACCTAGTGTGCTTCGTACTTTGGATAAGACAAAATAAACTGCTGTAGTGAAACTGTATGTCCTGGAGACCAGCTGTAGAAGTTTATCGTTGCATTATTGATTTTGGTCACTTTTTTAGTGATGAATTGTCAAGATTAATAGGGGGCTTTTTTGTGTTTTCAACCTGTGCTTTCAAGTTCAAAAGTAGAATTGATGAGTCCCTTCCCCAGGTCTGAAAATAACCCTTTCCCAATATTACGTGCTTCAGGCTGTATCCATCAGAGGATAGATGTGGTGAATTTGGACCCTAGCTGCTTCATGTGGAAAGGCTTGTGTGCCTTTTTAACTTTTTGGAACAATTTTAGACTAGAGTTTGAAGTAGGGTAAGATGATTAGAGGAGAATAATGCAAAAAAGTCCAGAAAAACAGTTTTTCTCTAAGTGATTTTTAGCCCAGCTGGATGATTCAGATGTTCCTAACTGCATCAGAAGTGCTATTGCTTGTATGGATTAAAATCCTTTCTGCTGTTTCTTCTTAATAAGCATACTTCCAGAAGGGGAAGTTACACTGGGAAAAGGGAGAGGAGAAGGCAAGGATATTAAGTATTGCAGTACTATTTCTCCTACCCAGTTAAATTTGGTGTTCAACCAAATCTTGCTCTAAGAACATTATATGTGTGAAATCTTGATTTGTGAAGATGTCAGCTAGGAAATCGAAGGCAGCCCCTGAGATGATACAGTTGTATTACCTCATGCAATTTTCAGTATGCTGGAGCATGCAATAGGCAGCTGCGCTCTAGAAATGAGGAGAAAGCAGAAGGCCTTGGTATTGTGGAGGTGAGAAAGGTAGGCTTTTGACCCTCGGGAGGTGGGTTTGCTTGTACACTGGTGTTCCTGTCGCCAGCTTTAATTTTATATTAATGGCTTATACCTTTTGGAGCTATTGTTTCAGAACCGTAAGAGTTTCAAACGTAATAGTGCCATTTTGGCTTTCACGTTTAAGGCTTCCACTGCAATCCTGTTGACTAGAAGAAGAATTTACTTAGCTCCTCAGCGTACATCCGGTATGAAACGATCAGATATGCGTGAACGCAGAATGTGTGTATGTGTGGAACGGGCAGCAAGGTGAAGCACCTGACATATCATCAATGCAGAAACATCAGTTTTAAAAATAGTTGGAGGAAGCCATCTTCTCATGTAACTTCACAGGTTAACATGAGATGAAGGTGCAGTTTTATGGTTTTGTTCAGGTTTCCCCTGATGAAGTCCAACAGGACCAGCAATATGTTTAGCTGGACGAATGGATGTACTACAGTATCAGATAAGCTTTTCTTCGGGGTATTATAAGCACAGTCTGTCTATACAATAGCACCACCAACTCTGGTTAACTGTTCTGTATGCTTATTAGTGAAATCATATGCTATGATATGTTGTATTCGATCAGCTCCAGAGTTATGTGCAGGACAGTACTGTTAGTCATGTCTGATATTTGATTCAGTGTCTAATACCAGCCACAAGTACCTAAACTTCCACTGGACTTCTTGCTCTTGTTGCTTTTTTCCCTGAAACTCCTATTCTTATGAACCTGATTTCAGCATCCTCTTTGTAACAGCTGTCTTCTTGCCTCTTTGTTCTTATTATGTTGTCATTGCTTTTCTCCTTTATTCTCAAAAGAAAGCATTTTCCAAGCCAAATCTTTCACTTTTTTTAATCCTTTTTCCCCCAGATCTCTTAATCTGATTCTCCTTCAGAACGTCTGCTTTCTTTCCTCTGAAACATACCCTGTGTATAAATTAAATACAGCTTTATACTTACCTGTTTCTAACTGGAGGTATTTCTACAATTCCTACTGAGGTTACATAAATAATAATAATATCTCCTGTGGAAGCTCCCTCTGGCATTGTAAACTGGCTTATTTCCAGCAACTCTTGCACGAAAGTGCTCTGGGTTGCTAACTACTTCTGTAACTGATGATTAATTGGAAGACAGGTTTCTTGTATCAGGGTATGAATGATCTGGGTGCACTGGCCTCCGTTCTTAAAGAGTTTTGCTTTTCAGCCAGTTAAAACCTCTTGAACAGCAAAGGTGTGCTGGGATTAACATGGTTGGAGTTCTAAAATTGTTTTCATTGAGTCTTTGTTGGACAATGGTTTTATTTTTATTTCATGGCAAAATTTAAAACATGGCATTTCTAAATCATTTGTGGTTTGGAAAGGGCTTTATCTTTAAATACTCATTTTTGTGTTTGTGTTTATCTTGGACTCTTAAATTAACGCTTTTTTATTGCAAAGATACTAGTGTGGAGAAAAGCTTTACATTTACTGTACAGCTCTTAAATCCTGAACTGTGGAATTGCTAGCATTTACTGCTGAAAATAGAAATGTAATTGTGCGCAGAACATTTTTTCTTAATTTAAATCCAAGAAAAAATGTATTTATATCTAAAGATAGAGGAAAAGGTAGCCCTACTCCTGTACTCTGTTAGGTTTGGGGGAAGAAAAGTAGAAAAGGAAAACAGAAGCTTTCAGCACTTTTGTAAAGGACAATGATCTCCTGCCCTTTCTGTTTATTTAGTCTTCTGAATTTACAGAAGTTTAGAAACTGAACTGTCTAACTAGTTAGGTCAATCCTCAAGTGCATTTCAGTTGATCTGTCTACCCCAGTAGACTCTAGTTCAAGTTGTACATGGCCCTTTAGGTATTTGCTATTAACTTTTTGCTCTCATCTTCAAATGATGTGGAAAAGTATGGGTACTTCAAGACTTTCATCTTAATTGAAACAAGTAAAATCGTATTGTTAAATGACAGTCATGCAGATAAAACTCCAGGGAACTATGTTGAAACCATCAAATTAATTTACTGTTCTTGCTTTCCTGTCAGAATTGTTCTGAAATTTGATTTTCTTCTGGAGGCACACGTGTGAAAGTAGACAAGGGCTCATAAATTCTAACTTTAAATAAGTTTTTTAAAAGTTAAAAACTTTACTTAGAAATTTTTTTTTTTTTTTAGTTAATAAGGTAAACTAGACTGGAGTGTTGTGTTTTTATATGAGCATCTGCAGAAAGAAACCCCAGGGTCTTTGTGTAGAATTGAAGGGCTTCGAGTGGGTAGTGTTTGAAGTGATGTATTATTCACCTTCAGTTCTGAGAGCTCTGCTCTTAACGTAGAGGAGAGGGCTAAGTTGTTAACTGAACTCCTGCCTTTAGTTCTTGATGGTCTCCTTTTATTTCACATTTCTAAACAAAAAATGTAGTGCAATATTAAGTGTATTTAAATGTCTTTGCACCAAGACAGAATATGGACAAATGATTGGGTTTGATAAGCATTTTAAATAATGTGTAAATAAGATGAAATGCTATAAATTATAGGGATATAACAAAAGGGAAGAGTGATGGCTTTCAGCTATGAGACAGACCATCAGACTGATGAGAGTTCCTTTATCACGTTCCAGCTACCCCAGTATTTGTGCAGTGTAGATACCATGTGTAAGTATCAAGCATGGATGTATCAGGTCAGAATCCTTGGGGTTTTTTTTCTCTAGTGCATATATATTTAATGATTTATTGGCAGATGATACAATTTTGTGTTGTCTCCAAGTGTTCAGTCCCTCCATAGTTCTCTTCAATAAATGCTGAAACAAGTAGCACAATTGGTAAAATTAATTTTTCCAATCAAATAGAAGAAATACGTTCTTGAAACGTTTGGAGAGTCAGCTGTTTCTGGGAACAGACTACACTTCAAGGTTAATTTGAACCTTTATTTTATTCGCTTCTTTTGGCTTACCGATGTTGCTGCTTCTTGGCAAAGATTTATAGCAACTTTACTGAGTTTGTCTTGTTCTGCTTTTTCAGAGGGTGGAATTTGAGATCACCTGTTACTTGCACGCTGCATTGCTGATGGTTTCATGTGGACTTTGTGCTAGCCTGACATGTTTAACTTCACATTCATTGTTCCCCTTTGGCATTAAATAATCCATTTGTCTGCTTTGCCCCCACTTCTGGCAAATGGAGGTTGAGTGGGTGGCTGGCCGTTAAAAGGTAGCATACTGTGTGTACAGGGGCTGTGCATAAGAAAGTTCGTATGATAAGTTAGCGTTTGGCTTTAACGGCATTAAAGAGTCGCTGCTGCTTAGACTCTGACAAATAGAAATGAAGGAGATGAAGTACGAAAATGCATTTGTATTGTTTGTTTAGTTAATATGGAGATGTAGAGGTTTTCCGTATAGATTAATTTTAGTGGACTACTTCCACGGTGCTGGTGCTTCGGTAAGTTGCAAATACCTTCATCAGGCTTGAGACTGAGGTTATCGCATCTTATTTAGAGTCTCACTTTTATCAGTTGTGATTGTTTTGTTGGATTTGCGGAGGGGTGTTTGTTTTTTCTGTAAGATTGATCACAAAATGTTCTTCTTAAACCAGTGTGTACTTAAAACTATCCTCTGTGTTTCTGGGAACACTATAATGTTATGTTTGACTTCGTAATAGGCACAGAAAAAGTACGGCAAGCTCAGGACTGCAAGGACCTCCATGTTGTAAACCCCGATTGGCTGTGGAGCTGCCTGGAGCGCTGGGACAAGGTTGAGGAACAGCTCTTTCCCTTGAAGGATGACTATATCAAAACACACAGGTAAGTGGAAACTTGGGGGAGTAGGGGCTATGAAAATAGGTTATTCATACAGTTATGCTAATTTGTTAGTGCAGCTATAAAATTGGTTTCTGAAAAATTCAGAATGGTGTGTAATGCATACAGATTTTGTGAAAGAACCCTCCATTTTTGTCCATTTCTGTGCTGCTTAAACTGAAAACTGTTAAGGGATTGGGAGGCAGTTCAGCAGCTAGCAGAATTGGTAGAAACCTGTGGTACCAGTAGTTTCTTTAGCAGTTATCATTGTTAGCCATCTTCAGCTGGAGCAGTGGACCTTGTCAGTTCATCTACAAACTAACACAGGGAATGCCACCAAGGCACAGGATCATTCATGCTGCCAAATGAATTAAAAAATGTACACACTCCCACAACATGAAAAATTGGTAAAGTACGGCATTTTTTTCTGAGACTTGGTAGTGAGGAGGAAGAGAGAAACAGAAAAATACAGCAGAAAAATCTAAGAGGGGTTGGAAGGCATGAAGGTAGAAGTGAAAACTGGAAGAAAGGAAGTAGTGAGAGAACAGGAGGTTTTGGCATGATAAGAATAAGTGTTGAAGGAGAAAGGGTTAAAAATAATCACTGCACTAGGATGCAAATAGACAGCCAAAAACTTTATTAACACAGAGGAAGTCTGAGGGCTAGTAAGAACAGTCCCCTTTAGGAAAGTGCCATGGCTAAAATAATTCATGACAAGATACTGTAGAGCCAGCTTCTGCTTCTTGACTTATCTGTTTGGATAGACTCACATTAATAGCATCTTGCAAGCCTAACAGAGGACCTTCCCTCCTATGTTTAGACAGGCATAGCATATTGGGTTTTCTGTGTTAAATTGATAGTGGTGTGATTGACCGAGCGGGCTAGAGATTTGCTTTCTGCTTAAAAGACGCTAGCCCTTTGAGGGCAGAATGTGCGTGTGTAAAGTCCTCATACACTCTGAAGACGCCAAAAGTAGAAACATCTGGAAGTGAGATCACTTATCAAATGGGAGACTAGGTAGAGACCCAGGATCTCTAAAACTTAGGAAAGAGATGTAGCCTACTTATGGCTTAACTAGAGTACTTTGTTTCTAAAATGTTCTATCAGTTTTTTTAATCAAACTGAAATATTTGTATGGGATGTTTAACTTGTCTCAGAGGCCTGACACTGCCGAGTTCTCAGTAGAAATCTGGACAGTGACTTGTAAGCATCATTTTTTGATGTCTAGATGAATGTTGGTCTTTCTACCTATCTTAATGTACTCTTCCATTTTATTGAAACACAATGATAATTTTTCCTACTTCTATGTTTCTAATACAATACACCTCAACTTCATACTTTCCCTCACTTCCACGCCGCTTTCCCCCCCTCCCCGCCAACTTCAGTCAGTGAGACATCTATCTTAATGCAAATACTTTTACTTTATTAACCCAACATGTGCAACTTCTTTGCAAAAGATTTTCTCCTTAATGAAGCTGCTTGAAATAGTGATTACTGATCCAAAGCCCTTATGAACTAGGTGAGGGATGAACTCTGAGGAAATATTTGCATATAAAATGAGCTTAAGAATAGCAAAAAAGAGTAAGTAAACTTGGAATTGGTTGACCTTAAGTATTGATGCTACAAGACTACTTCAGAAAGGTCCATGAAAGCATATGGTAAAAACTCCAGTTTTGTGGCACTTCTAATATTTGTTACAGTATAGTTTAATAGTTTTTTCTATAGCATCAGTTTCATGGTGCATAACGTGCTGTTTTATTTATTTTTTTTTAAATTATTCAATTTGCTTCCTTTTTTTTGTGGCACTTCATCATAATTGGATAGTATGCCATAATGATGATTCCTGCAGACTGATCTCTGAATGTTTCTGCTGACACTTCTAAAATCATGTTTTAAAATGCAGCAGGGTGATCATAGGCGGCTTAGTATTTTAACAAATGAGTTTGGGTGACTTGCAAATTAATACTGTGTGTTTATTTTCTCTCAGAGCCAAGTTGGAGAGCAAATACCAAGATCTGATATGATAGCATGCTGTTCTCTTTGTCACATATATGTAGATTATCATGCTACTCGAGTTGTGCAGTTGTTACTACCTGGAAGCAATTTCAGTAACTTTATATAAGATGCTTTTTAAGGCACATTTAGTAATTTTTTAATAATGTAAATATGACATTATCTGCGTCTTTGCATTTTTCTGTTTTAAATTCAGCGAGACTTTAATGGGGTGGATAAGAAGAAATGTGTTTTCAGAAATCTTCCAAACTATTTCCCCCCACACACACACTTTCTCCTTTAGAAAAAAGGAATGCTCATTTTTTACATTACGGTTAGATAGCTCGTTTAAATTTCTAAAGCTATTTTTTCTGAACTTCGTCCAACAGAGAGAACAGCCCTGCCACGTTTCCTGATACACACAGCACTTTTCAGACAGCTCTGTTTCACCCAACACCCATCCATCCAAAGTCTCAACCTGGTCCTGAAGTTCGACTTTATGATCCTAACACTGGAAAGCTAATCAGGAAAGGTGCTCAGACCTCTGGCCAGTCGATGTACATCCAGTCTCCAGCTCCTCCCATCACCTTACCAGTCCACGGTGAACACTCGTCCTTCAGGTACCTAAAGCATAGCTAAGAGTGTCTTCAACTATATTTTCAGATGCTGTGGTAGATTTAACTCTTGTTATCCTTGCATTTGATCAAATTGTCATCTTTGCTTTAGTTACTTTGTTTGCTTTCTAAAAAGCCAAGGAAATGACTGAACGTGAATAGTCAGCTGAAGTGAAATGAGGATGCTAGCATTCCAGATGCTTTTTGTGCCTCACCTAAGTGCGACTAGAAACCTCAGAATAAATAAATGCGGCGTGTAGTTTATGCGCTCTAACGCGAATGCTAAATAACTCATCTCTGAAGCGAGGCAGCCTAATGTTTTTTAATGAGTGTTGGAGTAATGGATTGGGTTTTTTGTCTATAAAATATATCTGATAGCATTTGGCTTTTGTTTAAAAAATTTTCCTCTTCACCTAATTCCTTCAGATGGGACATCAGCTTTGTGTTTTGTTTTGAGGAATGTCAGAAGTGGTGGAAGAGGAGCGTAGCTAGCTGAGCATTATTAAATAAGGCCATATGATTGAGTGTTAGTTAATGATCCTTAGATCACTAAATCAAGACACTAAAGCAGCAGGAAGAGGAGACGGATTTTTGAAGTACAAAGGCTAGCATCTGGACTCTGTCAAAATTTGTGGATTAGGTTAAGCTACAAAGACAACACTTGTCTCTTAAGGATGCATAAAATATCTAAAATTCATCCCTAAGTATCTGCGTAAAAGATCTAACTTTCTGGAATGCTAACAAGTTTAGCAAGGCTTGTTGACTCCAGAGGTAAAGAAATACCCAATTGAAGGCGAAGCTTTTATCTTTGTAAAATATGATCAAAATTCCTTTGTATAATGTGATCAGAGTATAGCAGTTGTTATAAAGCAATTCAGTTTTCCAAGCAACTACAAGAATACAAAGCACAATTATAAATGCACACAGTTTTCTACCTTTCTTCTCCCTCCCCCGCCACTTTTGCAGTGTATCACTTGTAAAGTTTTTGTATATTAGTGTAGCTTGTTATGTTTCCACTCTATCTTCCTGTTGCTAAATTGTTTCAACCTATGGTTTTTTCAGTTGTCATCTTTTTATAGGCTTTTTCTTATTTCGGCTTCCTTGTTTCTGTCAGCGTAGGTTTTTTGAGTCTCTTGTTTATGAAGACATCTTGGTTTCAGTTCCTTTTTAACTGTGTCTTTAAAGTCTGTATTTCACTTTACTATGACATGTTAAATGAGCAGGAAAATCTTGAAATAATCAAGACACAGCATGTATCCAGAGAGGAGCTGAAAAGCTTTTGGTTTTGTTTGTCAGTTAGTGTGACAAGGAGTTTGTCTAGAAATAGAGCTGGGAAGGTTGTACGTGTATATAATTGTTATGACACTTCTAAGATGCTTCAATATGATGGTTTATGTTGATATTAATGCATCACTCAATGCTTTAGAAAGAATAGGTTTTGATGTTTGTTCTATCTTCGTCAACAACTTAATGAAGAGTTATGTCCACACCTAAGCTTATTTTTCTTTAATGCAGAGGTGCTTCTTCATTTGAACATCTTATGGAAAAGGAGAGAAATATACATCAGCTGTCTTAGTTGAGTTTCTCAGAGCCCCAGACAGGTTTTGGGGTGGAGCGAGACTGTATCTCCTTCCTACTCCCTTATTTTACTTCACTTAAGCATGTTTTTTGACTATCAATGCTCAGGGTTGAGATGCTTTAATCTAAGAAAGTAAATCCAATTACTCAGTGCTGCAACTGCACCGATTAACATAAGATATATGCTGGCAAATAGTCAGTATTTTCATCATCATTTCCTGTTGATTTGGTTCTAGTGGTAAAATTAGTGACCTGTAAACACTGATCTCTTAATTGGGGCATGTCTATATTCCTCAGAGCAGTTCCGTTATCTTCAATTAAGATGGTGACGAGTGTCTTGGTAAAGTCTAGGAGGAAAGCAGTGCAGTGATCAAATACTGCTTTAAGTACTTTTAATGAATAGGAAGTACAGCACAGGCAGAGCACGAAGGCTGTAAAGAAGTAACGAAAAGCTGAATAGGAACAGCTTTGCTGTGTTTTGGCTGAGCAAGAGCTGCGGCAGAAGTACTGTATCATCGCTTTGCTTTGTCCTAAAGCATGCATCAATGACAGCTTTTAAAAAAGTTTCACATCCACTTTAAAAATTGATTTGATACTTGACTTCAGAGAAAATTACTTTAGTGCAGCAATTTCTTGGTAGAAGGCAGTGTATTTTGTGTCCTGACAAACTTCATGTGCTTGTATGTTCACCTCCTACAGAAAGGTAAGAGTATTTGTAACTAAGCCATTGAATTTAAGCAGAGTTAAAGCTGTTAACACTCAAAACCACTTCTGTTGCAGGTGGATGCAGTCAAAGCCTCCAATAATCTTCTTTGATAGTTTCTAAAAACCTCATATGATTCTGAATTTCAGACAGTGGGCAACAAAATTGCACTGCTGCGAGAGGAAACCCTTGGGTAGCCACATGTGGCATTAGCAATGGTACTCGGTCTCTTACTGTAAGAATAGACCTTAGAAGTGAATCTCTTGTAAGGCTGGTTACTGAAAAGGGCTTCAAGTTATCTGAGTACCATTTCATAAGAACTGTTTCAGTTCTCACTTTCTTTATTTTGGGTTCAACATTTTTAGTTTCTTTCTGGGATTCAACTTGAAACATCATTTAAAATAGGATATGATTAGTTTAAATATCGACACGCAATTTACAGTGAAACTGTCACCAGTGAGTTACAGATGGTTCAGTTAATTTGGTCAATGTTTCATGTGACAGGCATAGATCTTGCCACTGTGCTCGGCGCTGTGAGACTTGAACACCTGCTTTTTGTCATGGCTGTTGCAGCCTGAGCGGAAGGGTGGCAAAGAGTTTGCGGCTGTACTGGAAGGGAAGGGAATGCAGTGCTGCTCGGAGCTTTTCTTTGTCTGAGAACTGGAAGGATTCTTCTTTAAAAATAACCTGCGTGTCAGAGCTTTGACACTCCGTATGTATCTCACCAATTTGCATTTTCATATGGAAACAGTATTCTACAAACACTGCAGTAAACACTAAAGTTGTAACAGGTCATGAGATGTGTAATGTAGTGTTGTCCAAAAAAATGCAAATGCTAATGGTGTCTTGGACTACAATAAAGAAAAAATAATATTACAAGTTAAATTTTAGTGAACGCTAATAATACACTAACAGATGAAGCAAAGCTTAAAACGTGGATATAATTTACATGTTAGAGGTTAAGTGGCCGTCTGGTTTTAAATAGTGCTAAGATGCACCAAATGTTTGGCTTGTAAAGGTGTGTCAAGCAGATGTTGGTGGCTGAAGCAATTCTTTAAGATTTGTATAAATTAATTTTACTTAAAATTTTTGTGTCTTAATTTACATGCTCATTGTTGTAATTTTTCCTATCTAATATTATTAGTCTTGTTATGACAGCAAAAATACGAAGTACCAAATTGAAATCATCAATGGAATTTAAATATTTTTAACATTTTCATGATGATAATGCTATTTTAGCTTTTGCCCTGATGCTGTATCAATGAAAGTGTTAAGATGCTTGTAACTTCCATAAATGTTGAACCCACCCTGCATGTGGTGAGTTCTAGCACACATGCATGTCCTTGTGTGTGTAAGACTGGCAAGTGCCAACCAACCTGTGCAGGTTGAATATGGTGTTATTTTTGACAAAGTATTCATGAATCTCATCTAATTAGAAATAAATGTAAATTCCTGCATTTGTATGTCTTTCAATTTTAATCAACATAACAAGCAGCTGAAAATGTAAAGCCTGAAAAATGTCTTTGATAAAATAAAAACGTTTCTTACAAACCTTAAAGAAGTCTTTGTTTTATATTGCTTTTTGCAATGCTTTGGTGAGGAGTCCCAGTGTATCTTACCTAGTAGCAGTTGGAAAATACTGGAGAAAAAATCTGACAAAAGCCTTTAGAAGCTATTAATACAAATATTTTACAGTTAATATTTGTGTATAATAATGTGGTCAAGGATGATCTCACATTTTATTCTGGGGAGGGAAGGGGAATATTTTGGGGTTTTGTTAAAAAAAATGGTGGTGTCTTCAAGATTTACCTGAGACTCGTAATATTTCTGCATATTATTGCTTCAGAGTAAAGAAGTTCATACTATGCCTAGTCTTGGATGCAGTATCTCCAGAATTAAACTGTCAATACAGTTTTTATTAAATAATGATGCAAAGTAATTCCTGCCTTTGCCACCCGTTGAGGTGAGAGTGATGTTCTCTAAAGTGTTCAAATAAAGAATATAAATAAGAATACAATGATACATAAACTGCAAAAGGAGGGGTTCTCGCTGTCATCAATATGATAATGTGTTCTTAAAAAAAAATACTAGATTTATTTCTAGTCTAAGAAGATCTGCTTGGCTGCCTGCTACATATAACTTGTGTATAATTCTTGGCATGGTCAAGCTTGTCATGTTGTTAATGCAGTTGTGTAAGATGCTCATACCTGTTGTTTTGTCATTCTCCGTTTTACTAAGAATGTAAATAGCATCACCACCTTTCTCTTGGCTAGGGTACCTATTAAAAAGGTGTGGAAATCGTATTTTAAAAGATCCTTTTGGAAAATATAGTGCAATGCTGAATTTTTTTACTCTTTTACCTATGAAAATTATTGTCTGAGAGGAGCTTAATAGCAAAAGAAAACCGTGTGGTCTTGTACAATAGAAAACATTTAGTAGAGGGGAGGCGGGGGGGGAAACCAACCAAACAAAAAAATCCTGTTAAGCTGTGATGAAAATCTCTAACAGAAAAACAGTTTGGTTAGCTTGTTTCCACAACATCTAAGTTGTTGTTTTGGCTTCATAGGAAATTCCAGTGTACAGAAATGACAAACTGCGAAGGGGAACATTTCTGCTGTGTTGCTGGGTAGCGCTGAACTGATGGGGGTCTCCTGCAGCAGATAGCGCAGATCTGGATAGCACAGCAATGGCTTGGCTCTCTTCCCCCACCGTCCCCAATTCAAACAATGAATTCACATCTCCTGCACCTATCCGTGGGATCTGAGAGGAGAGAGATGTGTATGTAGGAAATATGAGCCCTCAAAATGAGCTCGATAAGACAGCTTCATGTGGCTTTCAGATTTCATACATTCTGGGATTGAAGTACTGATGTAGGAAAAAATCTTGATATTTAGATGGCCTTCTTAAGAAGCTGTCAAGCTCATGAGAGGGGAAACGATTTTGTAGAACCTTACCTGTGACTGGATTTACATAATTTAATAATGGCTTATAATAATAAGGGCTGCTGATCTAAAGCTTTTTCTTGAAAATCCAGGCTTGAGGAGAAGCAGCCATCCTACGCTGAAACTCTTGTCAGCAGAGACCACATTGTACCTGTTCTTAATCGCCACCACCCTCAGAAACAGCCTGATGGTGTCTCACCTGGTAGTTACAATTTGAAACAGCTTGTGATTTCAAATACAGTCACTTTTATACTTGCTTGTGGTAATCATTCCCCACACACACAATCTTGTGACTAACATAAATAATTTGTGATCCATGAGCTTTATGACCTGAGGTCTTTGAATAGGATTCTGGTTGGTGCTGAGCTGCTGTAATGTGTTCCAGGAGGATTACAGCTCAGTATTCATAGTTAAACTGTATTGTGTAGCAGTTTTAGCTTCTCCAAGTCTTTAATCGTTAAGTAATATTCACAAAGAAAAAGTTACCCAAGAAGTGTAGAAGTCTCCTGTTGTTGTTTAGATATAGATGTATCATTATAAAGCAATTCCCATGAAGTTATGATTATTTTACCATTTTTATGAACATTTTGACATTCCTTTTGGTATCTGCGTGTTCTGGTTAAATACAGTAACTAACAAGGTAGTAAAATACAAACTAAGAAAATGCTACCATATTTGAATACACAAGCCAAAAAGAAACACGGTGTGTTTTGCATCTCATCCAGGCTTAGCATCTGGGAAATGTCTAAAGATTGAGGCTGCAGAAATGAGCTTTCTACTTGCAAACCTCTTGTCTGTAAGGTTGAGAAATAGAAAGGTATGCTTTGAGACTCAAGAATACAAGCATAACATAGGTCAGGAAAAATATATTAGAATGTAAGAATTGTTTCCTGAATGATAAATGTGTCAAGTGATGGACGAACTCCACTTGAGCACAAATGTTAACATATTTTAAGGGCAGCGCATCTGCAGCTACTGAAACTCTTGGCTTCAAGGAAGGTTTGGTGGTTACTTACAAGAACAATGGGAAGGCAGGAGAGTGAGTACCTTGTCAAAGGTAGAATCAGAAGCCATCAGACTGAAAATAAAAGCAATCATTGGGAGACTTATCTTTCTTCTGTTGGTGAACACAGAACCCTATTAAGCAAAGGCATAGATATTCAGCAGTCATAAATTGTTTTAGGATTTTATTTCTAGACAAGCTGTAAATCAAGTAAATCTTTCTTATGTGGGACCCCTGAAATTTTTCAGAGTTGTTCAACCACATCAGCAGCAGATGTTCGAAGAAGAAGACCTACCAGCGAGTGAAAATGAAGAGCAGCCTGGTCCATCTAAGCGGAAACGCCAGCCAAGTATGTCTGAGACAATGCCCCTGTACACCCTATGTAAAGAGGATTTAGAGAGTATGGATAAAGAGGTGAGCTTAACTAATTCTGGCAGGTTTCTAATGCAATGATTGTTAGTTATGCATAACAGTTTAACTTCTGTTGAATAATGCATGTATGTGAACTGACCTTGTATGCCACTACAGTAACTTGAAATAAAAGCCACAGCAGACTAAGAACTACAGTTCAGTCTAAAATGCAGTTATGTTCTGCAAATCAAACTTGAATTAAGGAATGGGAGTACTCTTGTGTGTAAGTAGGCCTTTAAAGCAGAACTTCATTTAAGTACAGCTTTGTCACACAAAACATGTTATCACATTTGCTTTGTGTTTAGCTTTGCCAGGTGTTGCTTTAAACTTTTTTATTTTTAAAGTAAATCTTCAAATGATCTGGACAAAATCAGTGGCGGGATGGGAGAAGAGAGGTCTGTGGATGTAAAAGGCACAGGCTGTAGAGAAGATCAGAGAGCCAAAGGGGAGCATGGGGCCTCATTATCTGTAGACATGTAATTGCAGTGCTGTTAAATCATAGCTATCACTGTTTCACGGGTGAAGGGAACTTTCTGTTAGTGAACTGTACTTTTTTCATACAAAACCACGTTATTTGAAATTCATTGTGAACGTCTAGCAGCTGCTTATTTTTCACTTATCCTTGTGTGTGCTTTTTTCAAATGAGCCACCATCTTACATAATATTAAATGATACAGAGGAAAAAATACCTATCACTGCATACCATGTTTTCATGAATTCGTTACACTGTGTGTGACTTCACTGTAAAACCTAGTGACCCCAGAGCTTGAATTCATCTTTGAACTTAGATCATTCACTGGAGTGGGGACAGGAGCGTATAACTTGCCAGCTTCTGGCAGTAAATTGATTACAAGGTTCTAGCCATAACAGGCCTCAAGAATTATCTTCGGAAAATATAATAAAAATGTGAGAAGGAAACTGCATATATCACCAAGGAAAGAAAGAGTTTATGTGTGCAGCATAGTGTAATTTTGAGATGTGCTGGTGCTAGAGAGGTCCTGGGGGAACTTTGAGCTGGTATTCTAGAGAAAGGTCCAATAACTTTCAACTGCTGTGATGATCTACTCTGAGTTTTGGATGAGTGCAAGCTTTTAACTTTACCCGGTAACTCTCGGAGTTGACGACTTTTGATTTCTTTTGCTTTTTGTTCCAAAGTGTTTTGCTGATTTGATCTCAGATTTTCCCAAGAAATAGTATTTCTTCTTGTCATGATGCCAGTCCCTGAATCCATCAGTCTCTTCCTTCTGTGTTGTCAGTGGTACTTAAAACAAATTGTTATTATGCATTGTTTTTATGTATTTATGTACTAACATTTTTCTAATGGTGTGGCTTTTGGAAAACATTAATGAATTGCTGTTGCATGTGTGCACTGAGCCAAAAGAAAGTGTGCATGTTTTCCGGAATTACTGCATAGAGTATGTATTGTTCTGTTTTTAAAGATACTATTTAGGGACCTTGTTGAAAATCTGAATCTTCTGGCACTGTTCGTTTTGTGATTGATTGCTCTCTATGTTGCTACAGTTAGACCGAAGGAATTAAAGTTTTTTCTATCTAGCCTACAATTGTAAACATCTTAAATTGCGATGATTTGTTTTTAAATTATGCTTTTACTTAAGCTGTGTTTGGAAACTAGACTACATGAACTTCAGAACAAATGAAGCCCAAATTCCAATGGATTTTTTTTTCATAGTTGACTTAGCTTTGGTTCCAGGAGTATAATTTGAGGTTATAGTTGCTGCCAAAAGGTTTCCCTTCCACCAGCCTCTGTTCCCACCCCTGTCTTTATTAAATTTACATTTCTCTGATACTTGGGCAGCTGAACCAGTAGAAACTCTTCACTTGTTTTTTGTGTGGGTGTATGTTTTGGGTTTGTTTGGTGGGGAAGTGGGGTGGGAGTTTCTGTTATTTCAGCTCCCCAACATGGTTTGATCAAGGATCAAACATTAGCACTGACATGGAGAAGGGGACACAAACGACATATATTGGGAATGTTGAACTGGACATGGTAGTGCCAGCAGGTCGTCATCTCCTGGGAGCTGACTATAGAGACAGACAAGGGAGACTAACCTTTGTGGACTAGCCTTGGGACTGCTAGCATCAGCTTGGTAAAGATAATGTATTCAGGTATAAGAAATGTAATGTAAGAAGGAAAACAGGATTTTATGGAGTTGTGTGGGAGTACACTTATGAAACAGGGGGAGGACGTGGTAATGTAGGCCATAAAATATAAAAGTTTAGTGGAGCATACACAGGAGATTTTGTTGTCAGGAACATTATCAAATAAAATGAAAATAAGCTTGATAAGCATTGCCGGTTAGTGCTCAGTTCACTCTGGTGACACTGTGGCTAGTTTAACTTCCATAGAAAGGTGTTTGACCCATCTCATTCTTTATCAAAACATGTTAATGGGTAAGAACCTTTCTGCAATCATGTCACTAAGAGGTGTGGAATTTCTGCTTTCTGCCACAAAAATGCTTTTGCTTCATTTGTATCCGTACTAGTGGCTATGCCAGCCACAGGATCTACAGCTGATTGCAGACTACCTTGGTGGAGCGAGGGAGTCTGTTTCAGTCACAACGGTGGTGCCTTGCTCCACAACTACAAGTGCTAGTAGGGTTAGGGACTGTTAGGGTTGGGAGTAGGTGGTCCAAGAAGAGTGAAAGCAAGTTACAGTGTGACTTTGCTGCAGTGTAAGCCCGCCCAAGTCTCAACTGCTGTGTTCCTGCCCCTGAGCCACTGTTGATAATCATGGGACCATGTGGCAAGCCAGTTCAAGGGAGCTGGTTTGGTCAGAAAAGATCACTTTCCAGGTTAATCTTCATCATTACCAGCTTCCTGAAATAACTCACAATTGCCACTGCATGAGTGCTAGTGCCAGGAGCAGGCAGAAGATGGAAAGAGCTGGGAATATAAGCAGTGAAGGCAGAACTGCAGCCCTCTAGTTTTAAAACTGCATCCTCAGTATTTCTACTGAATTCCCTGACAAATTCCGATAAGGATTTTTACTAGATCAAAAGGAGTCTTTTAGGCACTGGGATTTTTTTCAATGAAATGAAATAGGAAATGCAAGCGTTTATATATACTGTTTCTGTGGACATAACAAACAATAAATAACTCCTTTGCACTTAACGTCAAAAGGAAATCTTGCTTTTTCTTTGCAAAAAATCTCTGAAAAGGCCACACAGCCCCAAGCAATACAGAATTTGCATGTAGTTTATACATGGGAGAGTTTTGTTACAAGAATCAAGATGGAAGCCAATAAAGAGAATTTAATTATGATTTATTCCGAAATTTAAATCCCTTTCCATCCTTAACCTATTTAAACATTTGTTTGCCACTTTTCCTAGTAAAAAAGCAGTATTTGTTCCAATATTCCGTGAGGAAGAACTGCCACAGATAGTCATCTCTACTAAAATTTGATCTTACGTGGATTTTTTATCCTCTCTTATCATTTTAGCTGTAGTTGTGCTATGGATACCAAATTAAATCAAAGGAAATAAATAGCATCCCAGCTATTGGGTTGCAGTTTAAGGTCACTTAACCTTTTGTATCTTTTTCAGTGCCAAAGATCTGGGAGACTAGATCCAATGGTAGCTTCTTTTCCCTCTGGCATGAGGCACTGTGTGAACTTTAGGGAAGTGCAAGACCAAGAGTATTCAATGTAATAGGATTGCTGTTCAAAGGGCAATTGCCAAATCAGAGTAAGTGCATAAAGAATGGATCCCTACTTGGGAAGTATACAACCTGCTAATGCTGCTGCCTCACAGTTGAGAGAACATTTTCCCCCTTTCTTTTCTGTGCTAGCTAGATACAGATTCTTTGCAACTGGTTGCTGCTGTTTGTCTCTGCTATGCAATGGTAAAGGCAAGCAGAATTAAATGCTGCCAGTTAAATTAGCTTGTTTATAGTAATTTTTAAAGGTCTGAATGAATTTTTATTTCTTAATAACTGGTTATCTGATATATAACCTGCAAAAGATTACTCCATAAAAATGCTGTTTATATCGGATTGTATCTAGTATGCTGTAATCTTCATGGTATGTTGCTGGTTTCACCAAAGGGCAAGGATTGAAAATCATCTTTAAAGAGGAGGTTTCCAAACAATTAAATGCAGTCAATAAATGCAACTAGAAATATCTCTTGTCCATAATACCTGTTCCAACATGACTTTTGTTTTCTCAAAACCAATAATCTCACTTATCGGGAAAGTATCTACTTTTCCTTTCATTGGCTGTGTTGGAAAGTAACTCTTGCAGAAGCCTGTGCTGTAGGGAGAGAGAACTGGGCTGTCTGCAGGTCTTCCCAGCCCCACTACAGCAGGGGTCCACTTGCCCACCTGCTTATCCTAGAGGTACAGGACTGTTCATTGTGTGCTTTTTGGTGTGATTGCATGGAGTCATCATCCTTCCCCTGGGCTAGGTGGAAGTTACTGACCTACCAGTCACTATAATGTTGTGCAGATCTGCTGTAGTTTACTGACAAAAAACAGAAAGTGGAACCCAGGCTTCAAATGACTCTATTCGTTTCCAGAAATAAGATTTATTAGCCAAAGCAAGTTGCACAAAGGAAAGTAATGGCATACAAATCATGTGAAGACATAAACGTGTCTTTCCATTCATAATTGATTATCTCAGTACAGGGTGACGTGCAGTTCTCCTTCCCAGAGGTTACTCATGGATCATCTTGTGAGGATATTTCTTCAGAATTCATTGAGAACCACTCCTGTGAACTTCTAGCGTATTCATTCCTTTCAGCACTGATACAATTACTTATACGTTTAAAGAAGGCCAGCAAAAATGACCTACGATCAATATTTAATAAATTCTGTTAGTCTTGCTGATTTAGAAATTGTTTTTATTTAATTTAAGCTGTTGTTAATTCCTTTTTATTAAGGATGGTTTTCTTCTGAATTTGTATTCCTAAATGATATTTGGAGAGAACCTTATGGAACTGGGCTAGTATCATGTACAGTTACCTAGTCAAGTTGATCTAATCTTAACACTG